AGCTATGTCTGGATGTCCTCTTAGTTTTCCCTGATTAAACTATAACAGACTAACATCCCATCCATCAATTGCTGTCCTCAGAGTTGTGCAGGGATGCAGATAAGATTGAATTCTCCTCAGTCCCCTCTTCCAGATAAAAATCATTTAACCAATCCAAACCTGAGGCTTGCCAGAAAGACAGAGACAGAGAGACAGAAAGCGAGAAATCACCCGCCAGGGCGGATGGTCATACCACACTCCCTTCTCCTCCATTCTCCTCTCGGGATCTTGAGCACGCATGCACATGTGCCCGGTGTGAGCTTAAGCCACCGGGTCCAGGACTCAAATGGAGTCCAGCGACATAATGCCAACTGCTGGTCCCCATTTAGTATGTTTTCAAGGTCCATTCATGTTACAGCATGTGTCAGTATTTAAATCCTTTTTATGGCCAAATAATATTCCATTGCATGGGTATACCACATTTTATTTAGTCATACATCAATAAATAGATATTTGGGTTATCTCTACTTTTTCACTATTGCGAATGATGCTGCTATGAACACTCAAGTACAAGTTTTTGTGTCGACATGTGTTTTCAATTATCTTGGGTATATACCTAGAAGAGGAACTCTGCTCAACTTTTTCTTGAGGATAAGGAACTACCACACCATTTCCATAGTGGTTGTAGCACTTAACATTCCCATGAGTAATGTACGAGAGTACAATTTCTCTACATTCTGTCAACAAGTACTTTTTTTAAAAGAATTATTTTATGTAACTTTATTTTAACTTGACCAGAGAGGGAGGGAGGGAGAGAGGGAAAGAAATAGAGAAAGAGAGAGAGAGAGAAAGAGAGAGAAAGCAAGTCACTGGGTCCAGGACTCAAACTACCGTTGACCATGCAGGAGTCCAACACCCTTAACTACCATGCCATCTTCCAAGTATTAATTGTTTTATATACATGATAAATTTTCACTTTACCTCATCAATACTTAGCCACATTAGTATCATGCAGCTTTAGAAACAATTTAAGTTAAAACAAAAATGTCCTCTTTTTAAATTAATATTATACACATTTTGTAATGCTCATGGATATAACTCAAAAGTAGTGTTTCTAATTTTCCCCGGCAGAAAATAGCTGCTAGTCAAGGGCTCATATCACAGAGTTCAGCACCAAAACCTCTGGAATTAAAAATTACTTAGGGAATCAATCCCTATCTTAAACAGAAAACTGCCGTGAGTAGGCATAAGAGCAGTATTTGAATAGCTTTTCACAAGCATTTCACATTATTTCATTTTTGCCTCTTCCTTCCGGTTAAAGCCTGAAATTCAAGAACAAGACTGGCTTGGAACACCCCAGCAGGTTGTCTAGCTCAGGTAGAACGGTGGGTTTCGCCCGCGCGCAGGCGCACACGCACAACTCCGCCTCCCCTCGGGTCCATCCCTTTTTTCCTCCTCCTGGGACGCTAATGGAGAGGAAGACGGACAATGTAGTGGTGTTCGACCAATCCTCGCGCGATTTCGGGAACTGCGTTCCGCACTGGCTAATTAAGTCTGATGACGTAGTCAGGTTCCAATCCGTATGTCAGGGGCGGGGCTAAAGCTTGGCGGGGCCGGGCGGAGAGACGACGGCGCTGAGTGGAAGCACGTGACCAAGGCCTGAAGTAGGAAGGTACGGGTCTGGTCCGGAGCTCCCCCAGTACCTAAGGCTGCGATGGTGAGTGAGGACTCTTGCGCCGGAGCGTCTGCTGGGGTTCCACGTCCCTATACCGCAATCTCTCTGATTGCCCGTTCCCGGGCTTGTACTCCACCCTCAGCCCCAATCCGCCCCAGGACGGGGAGGGAACGGACATAGGAGGGGCGGCGATGTAGAGGCCTGAGGAGAGAGCCTGAGTGTAAGCCACAGGCTCCAGCACTGGAACCACGGTCCACTACGTGGGAGTCTAGCGACACGGCCATTACGCCAACTGCTAGTCCCACAACAATTTATTGTATATCTTAGAGTAGCTAAAAGAAAGGATTTTTGAGGAACCAGCAGTTGGCGTAGTGCTCTGTCGCTGGACTCCCATGTAGTCAACTGTGGTTTGAGTCCCGGACCCGGTGGCGAGAACTCAAGCTGGGCGACTGCGTGCATGCCCAAGATGAGAAGAGGAGAAGGGATTGCGGTGTGGCCATCCCCCCAGGGGATGATTTCTCGCTTTCTGTCTCTCTCTTTCTGGCGAGCACACCCTCCGTGTAACAAAAAACTCTAAAAAACAAAAACAAAAAACAAACCCCAAAACAATAAATTGTTGTTTGCTGTAGTTACCCAAGTATGTTCTAGAACATTAGAATTTATTCTAAGTGTAATTTTGTATCTGTAATTTGTATCCTTTTTCACCCATACTCCCACCCTTCCCAACCTCTATTAACCCTCTATTTCTATGAGGTCAACATTTTCAATTTCCACATATGAGTGAGAACATGCAGTTTTTTTTTTTTCTTTTTGTGCCTGTTCAATGCATATAATATCCTCCAATTATGTCCATACTATCTTGAATGTCAGGATTTCATTCTTTTTAAGGGCTAAATAGGATTCCGTTGTATATATTGTATTGTCAGAAAAGTCACGACACATTTTTGTATAGAAAAAATATGTTGTGACTTTTCCAATGATCATATATATGAGTGCACACACATGCCACGTTTTCTTTATCCATTTATCTATTGATGGACACTTAGATTGATTTCTTGTCTTGGTTTCTGTGAATAGTGTTGAAATTAATATGGATGTGTAAAATACCTCTTGAACATACTTATTTAATTTCCTTTGGATATATACCTAGTAAGGAATTGTTGAATCATATGGTAATTTGGGGACCAGCAGATGGCATAATGATTACATTGCTCAACAGCCTAGTAGTTGACCACAGTTTGAATCCTGGACCTGGCAACTTAAAACTCACACCAGGTGTGTGTGTGTGCGCGCATGCCCCAAATCCCAAGAGGACAGTGGAGGAGAAGGAACTGTGGTGTGGCCATCCCTCCTGGAGGGCGATTTCTCTTTTTCTGTCTCTCCAGCAAACGTGCATGCCTTACAGCAAAAATCTCTCAAAAAAAAGGGGAAAAAAATAATTATATGGTAATTTCATTTTTAATTTTTTGAGAAAACTTCATACTATTTCCCTCATGGGTGTACTGATTTACAGTTCCATTATCCATATATTTAGATCATTGGACCTTTTTCCCTGAAGTTTTTACTTTATGGTACATGTACTCACCAGAGAGAGAGAGAAACACAGTGAGAGGGAAAGTGATAAATCACACACACACACACACACACACACACACACACCCACACCGGTGATGGCTACACCACAATCTCTTATCCTCCTGGGATCTTAGGCATGTATGCCAATGCACCTGAAGTTTCAAGCCACCACGCCCAGGACTCAAACCACAGCTGTCCATGTGGAAGTCCAGCCGTGTAACCACTATACCATCTGCTGGCCCCATTTGCCCATTTAAAAATTGGATTATTTGGATATTTTGCTGTTGAATTTTTTGAGTTCTTTGTACATTTTGGACATTAACCCTTTGCAGAAAAATAGTTTCCAAATATTTTCTTTTATTCTGTAGGTTGTATTTTCAAAAAACAGGAAGTCTTTCAGTTTAGTTTTTTTGGTCTATTTTTGCTTTTGTTGCCTAGCTTTTGAGGTCTTGAATATCCATACTTAAATATCTTTGTTCATAGGGCTAGCAGATGGCATAGTGGTTACATCGCTGGACTCACACGTGGCTGACTACAGTTTGAATCCTGGACCTGGTGGCTTGAAAATCATGCCAGGCTCATAAGTGTACATGCCAAGATCTTAGGAGAAGAATGGAGGAACAGGGATTGCGGCATGACTATTCCCCCATGGGGAGTGATTTTCTGCTTTACTTCTCACTTTCTCTGTCTGTCTCTGGTAAGTGCACACACTCTCTGGCAAAAACCTCTATTTAAAACAAGAACAACAAACAACTTTGTATAGAATAATTCCCCAAAGCATTTTCCCTATGTTTTCTTCTAGTAGTTTCAGTTTTGAGTCTTATATTTAAGTCTCTGATTTTTGTATATAGTAAGAAACAGAGGTTTAGTTTCATTCCCCTTCATGTGGATTTCTAATTTTCCCAGTGCAGTTTATTGAAGAGACTGACTTTTTTCCCAATGAATGTTCTGGGTTCTGTTGTTGAGAATCAATTGATTGTATACATGGAGATTTATTTCTGAATTTTCTTTTTTAAAGATTTTTGCTATAGGGCACATGTGCTTACCAGAGAGACAGAAAACAAGAAATCATCCCCCGGGGGTTGGGAGGAATGGCCATGCCACAAGGCCTTTTCTTCCATTCTCCTCTCAGGATCTTGGGCACAAATGACATGAGCCTGGTGTGTGTTTTGAGCCACCATTCTGGAATTTGAACCATGGTTAACTTCATGGGAATCCAGCAACGTAACCATTACACCATCTCTTGGCATCTATTTCTGAATTTTCTATTTTATTTCATTGGCCCATGTGTCTATGTTTATGCTAGTATCATGTTTTCTTTTGTTACCATAGTTTTGTAGTATATTTTAAAGTCAGGTAGTGTGATATTTCCAGCTTTGTTCTTTTTGCTAAAGATTGCTTTAGCTATTTGGGATCTTTTCTGGTATCATACAAATTTTATGCTTATTTTCCCCATTCTGTGAAGAAGGACATTGGTATATTGATAGAGATTGCATTGAATCTGTGTAGTGTTTGGGTAGTGTGGACATTTTAGCAATATTATTCTTCTGGTCCACAAACATGGGATGTCCTCCTATTTTTTGGTGTCTTCTTCTATTTCATCAGTGTTTTGTAGTTTTCAATGTAGAGATCTTTCATCTTGGTTAAATTTATTTCTAGGTATTTTATTTTGTCACTATTGAAAATGGGATTGTGAAAAGACAACTCTCTTTGAAAACTACAGTAGTGATAAACAAAAGATTGATAATGGAATTGTTTCCAGAGAAATAAGGTCCAGAGAATTCATACTGAAGTTAAGGTATGACCTCCTGTATATTGAATTTCATTTTGTAGCCATAATGAGTGGCAATATGCTAAAAATCACAGTGTGTTTTTGTGGAGACATACAGGCTGATGGAGCAATAAAGCTATCAAAATGTAAGTGGGATTTATTTATGAACAAAGAAATAATTCTAAATCTAAAATAGTTATTTTAAATAAAGAGTATAGAATTAAAAAATTAACAGAGGTAGATAGCCAGTATTCACGTAGATGCACTAATTTGAGGGTTCTCAGAGTAGTACTTTGGGATATGAAGACAAAAAGTAAACAAACAAACTCAAAAAAGCAAAACAACAGAAAATAAAATAACAGTAACAACAAAACACCAAACACATGCATTTGCTGAAATAATGAGAGACTACACGAATGATGTCTGCCTAAAAATGTTGGGAGTCTTTATAGTAATAGACAAATTAATAGATGGGGATGCCCAAGCTCTGAAGGGAGCTCCAGATTTCTAAGTTCATGCCAGCCTCTAAAATTGAGGACTGATGGAGCCCAAGACCCCAAGAGCTCCCCTTGGACGACTAGAAATCTCACTGGACAAGCCTCAGGTAACCCTTAAAGTGACAAATAACAACATGTTCTCTGAGATACTAATTTTTGTCTAAATCAGAGGTTAAGCTCATTTCCAAAAGCGAACTTATAAGAAGAAAAAAGGAAAAATAATAGTAAACAAAAAAGAAAAGAATTGTAAAAGTAATTTTGTGAAGGGATTTTATATATGACAAGTTGACTAAAATGTAAAGAAAGTGTTTTCCATATTGAAAGACAAGTTCTTTTCCCAATTAGTTCTCAGTATTCAAAAAAAAGCTCTAAAAGCTCATGCTGGGATCAGAAGTGGCCTTGGATGACCTCCTTCAGGCTGCAACTACAGGCTAGTGGTTAGAGCCAACAGGAGAGGCTCCACCCGCCACCTTACAAAACTATAGGGCACATGTGCTTACCAGAGAGACAGAAAACAAGAAATCATCCCCCGGGGGTTGGGAGGAATGGCCATGCCACAAGGCCTTTTCTTCCATTCTCCTCTCAGGATCTTGGGCACAAATGACATGAGCCTGGTGTGTGTTTTGAGCCACCATTCTGGAATTTGAACCATGGTTAACTTCATGGGAATCCAGCAACGTAACCATTACACCATCTCTTGGCATCTATTTCTGAATTTTCTATTTTATTTCATTGGCCCATGTGTCTATGTTTATGCTAGTATCATGTTTTCTTTTGTTACCATAGTTTTGTAGTATATTTTAAAGTCAGGTAGTGTGATATTTCCAGCTTTGTTCTTTTTGCTAAAGATTGCTTTAGCTATTTGGGATCTTTTCTGGTATCATACAAATTTTATGCTTATTTTCCCCATTCTGTGAAGAAGGACATTGGTATATTGATAGAGATTGCATTGAATCTGTGTAGTGTTTGGGTAGTGTGGACATTTTAGCAATATTATTCTTCTGGTCCACAAACATGGGATGTCCTCCTATTTTTTGGTGTCTTCTTCTATTTCATCAGTGTTTTGTAGTTTTCAATGTAGAGATCTTTCATCTTGGTTAAATTTATTTCTAGGTATTTTATTTTGTCACTATTGAAAATGGGATTGTGAAAAGACAACTCTCTTTGAAAACTACAGTAGTGATAAACAAAAGATTGATAATGGAATTGTTTCCAGAGAAATAAGGTCCAGAGAATTCATACTGAAGTTAAGGTATGACCTCCTGTATATTGAATTTCATTTTGTAGCCATAATGAGTGGCAATATGCTAAAAATCACAGTGTGTTTTTGTGGAGACATACAGGCTGATGGAGCAATAAAGCTATCAAAATGTAAGTGGGATTTATTTATGAACAAAGAAATAATTCTAAATCTAAAATAGTTATTTTAAATAAAGAGTATAGAATTAAAAAATTAACAGAGGTAGATAGCCAGTATTCACGTAGATGCACTAATTTGAGGGTTCTCAGAGTAGTACTTTGGGATATGAAGACAAAAAGTAAACAAACAAACTCAAAAAAGCAAAACAACAGAAAATAAAATAACAGTAACAACAAAACACCAAACATATGCATTTGCTGAAATAATAAGGAGAGACTACACGAATGATGTCTGCCTAAAAATGTTGGGAGTCTTTATAGTAATAGACAAATTAATAGATGGGGATGCCCAAGCTCTGAAGGGAGCTCCAGATTTCTAAGTTCATGCCGGCCTCTAAAATTGAGGACTGATGGAGCCCAAGACCCCAAGAGCTCCCCTTGGACGACTAGAAATCTCACTGGACAAGCCTCAGGTAACCCTTAAAGTGACAAATAACAACATGTTCTCTGAGATACTAATTTTTGTCTAAATCAGAGGTTAAGCTCATTTCCAAAAGCGAACTTATAAGAAGAAAAAAGGAAAAATAATAGTAAACAAAAAAGAAAAGAATTGTAAAAGTAATTTTGTGAAGGGATTTTATATATGACAAGTTGACTAAAATGTAAAGAAAGTGTTTTCCATATTGAAAGACAAGTTCTTTTCCCAATTAGTTCTCAGTATTCAAAAAAAGCTCTAAAAGCTCATGCTGGGATCAGAAGTGGCCTTGGATGACCTCCTTCAGGCTGCAACTACAGGCTAGTGGTTAGAGCCACCAGGAGATCCTCCACCTGCCACTTCACAAAACCCTTGCTTTGCCTCTTTTAGTTTTCTCATTATGTCAGATTGTTTTGGTCCTCTTCTAAGCTGAGAAATTCTTATAAAATTTGACACCTTGGCTCTGTTGGTAGGGAGTGCTACTTCACAAAACCCACCACCTACCTAGTCTCTCACTGGGGTATTTTGACAAACACCCTAGGAATTTGAGAAGGAAAAGCAGAGGGCAGAATAAAGTTCTGAGACACCTATTCTCTCTCACATTTCAACCTGCCTTTTTAATACTGGCCTGTTCTTTCATTCTGGCTTCTCTACTTACCTGTGTTTACCTACTAACTAGACTGGGATATGCACCTTGGTCTGCATCTCTACATTATTTTAAGACTTTGCTTCAACCCTCAGCCAAGGCTTGACAAATTATCCCAAAGTCTTTCACAGATTCAAGACCAAATAGACTTCCTGGCCACAGTAACTCTCCAAAATGTAAGAAGCCTAATCTTCTCACAGCAGGAAAAGGGAAACTCTGCCTCTTTCTAGAAGAATGCTGTTATTATCCTTCCCTGGTTGCTCCTAGTGTAGCTTTTCTCTCAGTTTCTACATTTCTAAAAATGCCAATGCCATCTGAGACACCATCCAGCAATTGGTACCAAAACAGGCTGAAAACATCTTGCTGCTCCAGAGGGAACAATATCCATACCACACCTGCCTCCAGAGACCCATACCCCTCCCCTTCAGCCCAAAAGACAGTGCTCCTTCTCAGGTTGAAGCAGCTCCTGAAGACTGGCCATTGGCCATAATCCCTTAACTCACTCTGCTTTTTTTTCCTAAAAGACAAAGGCTAGAAATGGTAGATTCAGCATCTGAATGACCTTTAGGAAATTTCCCTTCAGAAGGTGGCATGGTGGTTGAGGCTCTGGACTCCCACACAGCCGACCATGGTGTAAGCCCTGGATCTGGAGGCTTACTTTCTCACTTTGTCTCTCTGTGAGCAAATTAAAATAATAATCATGGTAAATAAAATCGAATAAATAATTCTTTTTAAAAAGTGAAAAGAAAAGGAGTTGGTTTCAGCAAACTTTGCCAGAATCCTCTGGCCAGAGCCCTCCCTTACTGGCAGCCAATATGCACAGATGGGTCGTTAAGGTCCTGTGGCAAGTGAGCTAAACAAAGAACTCGCCATTCTTGTGACCTACCCTTCCACCCCTCTCATATAAAAACATCACATCTCAGTAGTGTGGGCTGAAGCGCCTCTAGCTTCAGGCCCCCAGGGTGTTCTTTCTCTCAAAACTTTCCTTTTCTCTCTCTCTTTTTTCCCCTTTTTCTCTTGAGATGCTGCCTCCTGACTCTTACTCTGAACCCCTAACACGTGTAGGTTATCTGTTGGTTGGAACTGGCTAGTAAGTCAAAGTTGCAGGTGAATTTTGAAAGCAAGCCTCAGGCTGTATAAAAGTGAAAGTATCTATCTTGAGTCTGCTGGAATGTTTATATTCCCATTAATCTGTTCTATGGGACTGATTGCTCCAAAACGAGACATAGAAACAATGTATGCATCACTGAGTGGCATTACCTTCAATTCAATCTAGATTAGATCAATCAGCATGTAAGAAACATGGCATTTGCCCTAAGTGTACACATAGTCATTTAATATTTAACTTATATTGCTTTATGTTCCACCTGAGGTCCTGCTTCATTATTGTTACCGGGCGAATTTAGGCTGCCATGGGTCCATTCATGGGGCAAGTCCAGGGGTACTTCAAGGGGTGCACGATGCTGACTGTGGGACTGACCTGTCTGGTTTTGGTGAGTACTGCCCTGGCCTCCAGTGCCTCTTATATCTCACTCTTCTCCCCACGCAGCCTCAGGTTTGGATTGGTTGAATGCTTTTAACTGGGAGAGGGGCCTGAGGAGAATGCAATCTTATCCCTGCACAACTCTGAGGACAGCAACTGCTGGATGGGATATTAGTCTGTTACGGTCTGATCAGCGAGAACTAAGAGGACGTCCAGACATAGCCAAATTCATTGGAGTTTTGTTGACTAATATGTCGGCAGCATTCAGGGGAACTCATGTCTCTCAGAACCCTGCCACCCCAAGTGGAAGGAGAGGGGTGCTTATATAGACAGAAATCAGTCGATTCTGGGTTGATATGGTGATTACAATGGAAAGTGAGGAGTGGGTAAAGAGGAAAGGGAGTGGGGTTCCCATGCGAAAGCAGTGAAGGAAGCTGAATCCAGCAGGTTGTTATTTCTAAGGGCACTCTCCAGATCTTTGTTTAATGGTCCCCATGGCTCCAGGCAGGAGTCTGGTGTTTAGTTACAGTGCTAGGGATCATCTAAACAAAAAGCTTTCTGGCTAGTTAGAGACAATAAGACTATTAATCACTCTATTTACTCTGGGCAAAAGGAGAAAAGGATTAAACTTAAAGTTAAAAGATGGCGGTGTTTCTGCTTCAAGTCCATAGGGAGGGTGAGCAAGTTGGATGTTAGGATTTGTCAGGGAATCTAAAACATAAACCTGCAAGATTTTTCCAGGTAAATTCCAATGGAGTAAAGAAAAACAAGTAATTCACATTGTTCATAGCTCTTTCAGCTTTCAAAGCTGTTTTCCTTTCTGGAGTGACTCTTTATTTCACCTTTTGAGAACTTTGCTTAAAAAAAAAAGGGGTGAGTAACAAAGCTCAAGAGAATGACTTTCTCTTTCTGTTCATCAGTCAAAGATGGAGTTTCTTCGGGTCAGCAGTTGGCATAATAATGTCTTTGTCGGTGGACTACCACGTAGTTAACCGCGGTTCAAGTCCTGGACCCGGTGACTTTAACTCAAGCTTGGCGCGTGTGCATGTGTGCCCAAGATCCTGAGAGGAGAATGGAGGAGAAGGCATTGTGGCGTGGCCATACTTCTATCTGTCTCTTTCTAGTGAGCGCACGTGCCCTATAGCAAAAACCTCCCCCGACACACACACACACAAAATGGAGTTTCTTTATCTTCTTTAGAGAGATTTTTACTATAGGGCATGTGCTCTAGCCAGAGACAGAAAGAGACAGAAATAAAGAAATTACTCCTGGGGGTATGACCACACCACAACCCCTTCTCCATTCTCATCTTTGGATCTTGGGCACACATGAACATGTACCTGTTAAGTTTGATTTGGGAATGGCGGTGGAATCAGAGGCAGCAAAGACAAAAATATTAGAGTCAGACCTTGGAGTTTAATAAAACCAATATAATTTATTCTGGAAAAGCTTTCAGGTGAGGTTCCTCCCGAGGGAGTCACACCCAGGGTGGGTGCTGCTTGTTCTTAAAGGGCCGTTGTCCAATAGGTGCTCACCATGGGTCCTTGTCTGGCCAGTGAAGTTCCCTGTTTCTGTTCAACTTTGGCAGGCACGCCAAATACTGAAGGGCAGGAAAGTCTGTTGGTGATGGCGAGCCAGATGCAGAAACAGGAAAGTTCTGCCTGTGGGAATGTTTCCGCCATGTTTCTTTTTCCTCCCCCCAGAACTTATATTCCTACCTTAAAGGGATAAGGGATGACCACCGTTCTGGCTGCTTCAGGCTGTTATGGGACGTTGATCTGGGGCCCTCGGGTCTGAGGGTCTTGGGGAAGGGGTGCATAGGGGTGCAGGAACATCTGATTAATTGCCACTCGAGTGATGGATGCATGTTCCCTGAGAATGTGTAAGACACAGGGTGCAAAAGCCAGAATTAGATAGCAGTATGATGGGTTCTACAAACAGGAGGATCCAGGGTAGCAAGGATTTTTAAAGAGCGCCATGCATAGTGCTGCAAGCAAGAGAACACAGTGCCTCCACAGAGGACGAAAATCCCAGTGGGCAGAGGCATTGGGAGCCAAGGTGAGGTTATATGTGTAGAGGAGAGAGACACTGGAGAACTGTGGAGAAATAGTGACATTGTGGGTAGAGGTATAATTGACCTGGAATGAGGGTGGTACCAGAATGGCTACTATGGCAGAGCCAGCAAGAGTTATTTTGGGTGGGGTCCAGGGAGGCCAGAAAATGAAAAGTAGAGTTAATTAAAGTTGGCACTCGGGGACTTGGGGAAGGAGAGGGAAAAAGTACTGGGGCCAAAATTTTCTGGATTGGTCATGTAGGGGGCAGTCAATGACAAACTTGAAGTTTTCTATAATACCTCCAGGGTCTGTACCCAGGCATCTATTTGGATACCTACCAGTTGGGCGGACAGCCAGAGAGAGACAGACGGGTTCCTGATGGTAAATGTTACTGGATTACAGGTCGTGGGGGTACAGCCCTAAGGGGGCCAAAGGTACCTCCAGAGTTGACCAGAGGGCTGCTAAGGTACGCTGAAAGGTTAAACTGCAGAGTGACATGAGGAGTGCCGTTCCCAAGCAGTCTTATTGATAATACCTTGATTGCCCCATGTGTGTCGTACCTGGAATTCCCACCCCAGTAACTGTCAAGGCGGAGTCCATTCCAAAGGCTATGAGAAGGAGGAGGCTGGGCATGGCTAACCGTGTGGGGAGGAGGCAGCCCTGGTTAGCCAGTCCAGACATTTTAGACTTACCATGATTTCCACAAGTAGGAGGTATAACACTGCTAGCAAAAAGCCTTTTTCTAGAACGCTCAATGCTGTGGGGCTACTGCAGCCAGTTCAACAGAAAGAACTAGGGCTAGTGTGATGGGGAGGGCCTGAACAGGTAATTATAGGGGCAGGGTGGAGATGATATAGGCTTCTGCTATGAGGGAAAGAAGAGGGTTTTTCTGAGAGTTGGGACTATGGGGTTGACCTGGTCTGGAGAGATGACCGGGGAAACAGGCAGCCTGGCAGAGGAGGCCAAGAAGGGGAGGAGTTAAATTGAAGGGTGATGGGTAACTTTGCAAGGATGTCACGGCCTAGGAGGGGTGTGGGGCATATGAGAATGACAAGAAAAGAGTGGGTGAAGTACATTTTCCCGAGGCGAGAGACTAAGGGTTTGGTAGAGAGGGCATGAGGGCTGGCCATCAATACCCACAATAGAAACCTGGGAGGGTAATAAGGGGCCAGGGTATGTTGGGAGGACAGAGTAGGTAGCCCCCGTGTCCACCAGGAATGCGAACGACTTACCCGCTACCTGAAGCTGGACCCTGGGCTCGGCGAGGGTAATTGGGGTGGTTGAGTCTGGGGGCCGTCAACCCTCAGTAAATCACATCATGGCCAGGTCGAAATCCGGGTGGTGGATCTCCTCTTGGTGTGGAGGCGTTGGGAGTGGATCTCGTCTCCCTCTTTTGGGGCAGTCAGAACCCCAGTAACCCATTTCACCACACCCTGGGCAGGGTTTAGTGGGTGGCCTGGGATCCGGGCATTCACGGGCCTAGTGGCCTGACTTGCCACATTGGAAGCAGTTTCCCTGGGGGGAGACTGTGCCTAGGGACCCCCTTCTGAGGTGCTAGCCGCAGGGCAGCCACCAGGGCTTGGGCTTGCGTGGCAGCCATCTGTTTGGCCTGTTTGTGATGGGCTACCTCAGCGTTCTCCTCTTGGGAATTGAAAACTTTAATTGCCATATTCACCAGGTCTCCTATGGGGGTCTGAAGGCCCTGTTCAGCCTTTTTGGGATTTTTTTTCCTGATATCAGGGGCTGACAGGGTGATAAAGTGGGTGGCCAGAACCACTGCCCCAACAGGATCTTCCAGGGAGAGTCAGGTATGGAGTTGCATAGCCTCAATGAGGCGGGTGCTGATCGTTCTTAAAGGGCCACTGTCCAATAGGTGCTTGCCATGGGTCCTTGTCTGGCCAATGAAGTTCCTTGTTTCTGTTCAACTTTGGCGAGCATATGCCAAATGCTGAAGGACTGGAAAGTCCGTTGGTGATGGTGAGCCAGATGCAGAAACAGGAAAGTTCTACTGTTTCCGCCATGCTTCTTTTCCCTCCCCCATGACCTTACAGTACCCAGCATGAGTTTTAAGTCAATGGGTCTGGAACACAACAGTCAACTACATGAAAGTCAATGATGTAAGCATTACACCATCCACTGGTTCCAAAACTCGAGTTTCAAGTATAGATGCGTTTTGTTTGGACTGTTTAAACTCGTGTTTAGAAGAGTTGAATCTTAGGGTCGGCAGGTGGCGTGGTGGTGGTTTGGTTAAAGGTGCTGGATTCCCACATGGATGACTGCGATTTGAGTCCTGGACCTTGCAGCTTACTTGCTCGCTCTCTCTGCCCCTCTCTAGTCAAATGGAAATAAACAAATGAATAAATGAAGTTAAATAAGATAATTCTTTAAAAAAAAAAAAAAGAAGTGTTGAACCTATTGGTAATTGTTAGGGTTCCAAGTAAGAGTTAGGCACCATATCAAAAAAAAGGAAAGTTGGGACCAGCAGTTAGCGTAATGGCTGTCGCTGGACTCCCACGTAGTCAACCGCAATTCGAGTCCTGGATCCAGTGATTTAAACTCACGCTGGGTGCGTGTGCATGCATGCCCAAGATCCCAAGAGGAAAATGGAGGAGAAGGGATTGCAGCGTGGCCATCCCCCCTGGGGGGGGGGGGCGCCCACCCCCTATAGAAAAAACCTCTCCAAAAAAAAAAAAGGAAAGTTTATTGAGAGAACACTCTAGGATCTGAAGCCAGAAGTTCTTCAGCCCACCCTTCGGAGATATGATGTATTTATATGGCAGGAGTAGAGAGGTAAGGCCACAGAGTAGCAATTACTTTGATTAGTTTACTTGGCCCTGAGGCGTTATTGACCCATCTGTGAGTGCTGGCTGCCAGTAAGGAAGGGCTCTGGCTGGAGGATTCTGGCTAAAGGTCACGGCAACCATCTCCTTATTTCCTGATAAGAAATTTCCTAAAGGCCATTCAGGAGCTCATCTAACAATAATTTAAATAATAAGAGATTTTACATGAAAATACAAATTTTCCTTAAGCTGCTGAGTCTGGGATTGAAACTACCCAGGTGGCCATGTGGGACACAACACCTTAAACTCCGTGCCACCTGCCAGCCCTACTCATCTGTGTTTTTGAAAGTTTTTTTTCATTTTATGTTTTTTCTGAAGTGATGTAGGTGAGTCATACACATTAAAGGCATTACCTTGACTGGAAGCCTCAGTTACCTTATATGTTCTGAAGAGTCTTCATGCCATGAACCACTTCCAGCTTCATCCAGCCCTGAATCATGGATACACATACCCAACACGTTCATGGATGTCTTCAGACACAAACCTGGCAACTTCCCATGTGGTCGGCCTTGTAGAACATTGTCTTACCATTGCACCACTGTTTTCACCCCTGAAGTCTCAATTTAGCAACTCTGTTCTGTTGGTGTGGTCACTGACACCTAAAATTGCCTTAGATTATGAGTGAGCATAGTCCCTGATTGCAACTTTGAACTTCTATGATAAAACAACTCCCTTTTGATCATAATAGGCTACAAGTCCATTCCATTCCTCTGGACTTCACTACTGGAATAATAATTATATTCTTTTTTAAATTATCAATTATTATTCTTTTTTTAAAATTTTTATTTACATTTTTTTAATATAATCACATTATTTAGCTTACAAGGTGATCATTTCAATATGTGAACATTTCTCCCTGGTTGAGTTGATCAAAATATAACAACACTACTTCCCTGTCTCAGCAATGCTGTCTTTGTATCCCTCCTCCAAATGTTTTTCCCCAGGCCCCACTCCTCCAAACACACCACATCTGGCATTCACATCCACCTCTGTGTTTGTACATCCTTTAGCCTGCCCGTTTCAGTTATAGAGTGCAGACGTTCGGTATATATTAAGTGGGGACATACAGGGTCTCTACTTCATAGCCTGGCTTGCTTCACTCACCAGTAATCTTCCATATTCTTCCACTTTCTGTCAAAAGCCAGGGTTTTGTTGTTCTTAATGGCTGAATAGTATTCCATAGAGTGTATGTGCCACAGTTTTTCAATCCATTCAGCCGTACGGGGGCATTTGGGTTGGTTCCATGACTTAGCAATCGTGAAAAGTGTCGCAATAAACATCGATGTGCAAGCACTTTTCCAATGAGAAATTCTTCTGTCCTTAGGGTAGAAGCCAGGAAATGGGATTGCTGGATCATATGGTAGTTCTATTCGTAGATTTCTGAGGAATCTCCAAATTGTTCTCCACAGTGGTTGGACTAATTTACATTCCCACCAGCAGTGTAAGAGAATTCCCCTTTCACTACACCCCCCCAACACTTCTTTTTTATTTTTTTCTTTTGAGAGATATTTTTTGTTTTAGGGCAAGTACACTTGCAGAGAGACAGAGAGACAGAAAATGAGAAATCACCCTCTGAAAAGGATGGCCATGCCACAATTCCTTCTCCATTCTCCTCTTCAGATTTTGGGCACACATGCACACGCACCTGTCATGAGTTTTAAGACGCTGATGTAGGACTCGAACCGTGGTCAGCCACGTGGGAGTCCAAAGACATTTACACTATCTGCTGTTCCCAGTTATACTTGTTTTTAAGGCTGCTGGAGAAATTATCACTAACTTATCGGCTTAAACAACCTATATTTCTTCTCTTATAATTCTAGAGGTCAGAAGTCATTAAATTAGGGTTGTAGGCCAGCAGGTGCCATGGAGGTTAAGGTGCTGGATCTCACATGGCCAATTGTGCTGTTTGAGTCCCAGACCTGGTGACTTGAAAAATCACACTTGGTGCATGTGTATGTATGCCCAAGTCTGTGAGAGTAGACTGGAGGAGAAGAGTCTGTGGTGTGGCATTCCCCATGACAGGGGGTTGATTTTTCTCTCACTCTGATGAATGCATGTGCCCGATAACAAAAACTAAAAACTCAAAAACAAGCAAACAAATAAATTGGGGTTGCCAGACTCTGTAACTTCTGGAGGCTCCAGGGGAGACTCCTATTCCTTGCTCTTTTCCAACATTAGAGGCCACCTGCATGCTTTTTCTCAGAGGCCCCTTCCTCCGTCTTCAAAGTCAGCAGCATAGCATCTTCAAGCCTCTGTTTCTGTCCCTCTGCTTTCATCATTGCATCACCTCTGTCTTCTGTGATATAATCTACCCTTGTCTCTCTCTTCTTCTTTTTTTCTAAATTTGTCTTATTTCTTAATTTACTATTATTATTTTAAAATTTGCTGTAGAGCATGTGTGTTCACCAGAGAGACAGCAAGAGAGAGAGAAAGTGAGAAAGCAAACTTTCAAGTCCAGGATTTGAACTGCATTTAACCATGTAGGAGTCCAGTGCCTTAACCACCACACCAGCTGCTGTCCCCTTCTCTCTCTTCTAAAGGCACCTATGATTTCATTTAGAGCTGTATAATCCAGGATAACCTCCCTATTATAAAATCCTTAATTTAGTCACATGCACAAAGTCCCTTATGTTACAGAAGGTGACAGAGTCCAGCAATCAAGACACAGACATTTTGGTGGGCCATTATTCAGGTTTCCATGGTAATCAAAGCCAGAATCCTTATTAATTCTTGACCTCTGAATTTGGGCTCCTCTTACTATTCCTGTCCAATAGAACAAGGTCTCCTTTCTCTATGCTCCTCAATCTCATGCTCCCCTGAAAAGCTATTGTGCTAAATCTGGAGAAAATACAGTGCTTCTAAGAATTTACAATGTAACAGAGAAGACATTTGTGTAAATAAGGAGTAAATTTAGGGGATAAAAGAGGACAGGACTTTTATTATCCCTGTGCCTCATGACATTAGACATAGCTGCACTAACATCCTCTTCTCCCAAATAGAAGATAATGTCTCCGAAGTTCATACTGTTTTATCTTTTTTTTTTTTTGAGAGAGAGAGAATTTTGCTATAGGGTGCACGTGCTTGCTGAAGAGACAGTGAGAGAAAGCAGGAAATCCCCCCCACCCGGGGATGGCCATGTCACAGTCTTCTTTTCCATTCTCTTTTTGGGATCTTGGGCACGCCATGCGCCCGGTGGGAGTTTCAAGCTGCCGGGTCCGGAACTTGTACCACAATGAACTACATGGGCGTCCAGGAACATAACCATTATGTCACCTGCTGGTCCCTGAATCTCATGCTTTAAATTCCAGTATAAATTCTATTGGTATTTGAAATGTGTCCGTTGGTTCTTTTTCTAGATCACCCTTACCTGAATAGAACAGACTATTGGTGGGTATTGGTGAGTATCTGATAGGCAGGGGTCTAGACCCCCTCCTCACCCTCCACCACATCCATCACATAAAATGTAGCCTCTTCCAGTGCTTTCCCATTTGAATTTTTGTACTTCTTTGGTTTATATTTGTCCTTTTGTGTTTCTCAGAATATGAAACCAGAGAAATTAGAGGCCTTGGGAGAGACTATGTCCCAGCAAACACTGTATCTTACTAGAAAACAATCTGCCATTTCTGTTTTTTTTGTTCATGAAGGATATTGGTCTAGTTTTTATGTAATATTCTTTTTTTTTTTGAAACCAAATATACGTTTATTTTTAGCTGTATTCTATTCAGTTAATAAATGCATGTGTTTCTTTTTTTTTTTATTTTTTTTATTACATTGGATTACATATAACTTTACATTGACTTCCATTGCTTTTTCAAAAGGGAATGCCATGCATGTCAGTCAATACAGAGGCATCGATCTCTCCGCTTTATCATTCAAAGTCTTTTCCATGCATTTCCCAATAATTATTATTATTATAATTTTTTAAAACAGTCAATCACTATTTCTCATTTTGCTTGTTAAAAGACTTCACCCATCATGAAATACTTCCCAGACCAGTCCAGTTGAGAATACTATACACGTCATCTTCAACAGATAATAAACCATATCTGTTTCTCACTAACATCCCCTCTATTGTTCACTTGCTATCTTTCTCTATCCTCTTCTCTTTTTTTTTTTTATAGTTTATTTTTTATTATAATTTTTTTTCCCATCGCAACACACAAATGAATTTTCCATCCAAAATATACTGTGCATTGGCTCAATCAAGCACGTCAACATATATGTTCTCAGCAAATAATTTCCCAATTCTTGTGTCCTGCATACCTTGCCTTTTGTTTTACCATCCTAGATTCCCCATCCCCCTCCCTCTGTTATGACCCATCCTCCTCCCACATTGTCCCTGTCATCCCCGATTGCCCTCCGTGCCTCACCCCTCCCCAAATGATCTGTCAGTGATCTTAATTAGTCTAAGTCTCTCCAATAGTTATCACAGCTGACACATGCCTCTACATGAACTCAAGTCTGACTTTAGGCCTAAACCCCATTGGGTAAAAAGAGCATACTATAAAGTAGAACCCAACTGGGCCCATACCGCTCACTGCAGCCATCAAATATCCAATTTTTTTTTTGAGACAGAGTGAGATAGGAGAAAGCACCTCCCAAGGGGAAGGGTCACACTACAATCCCTTCTCCTCTCTCTCTCCCTCCTTTTGGGATTTTGAGAACGTGAGCACACACTGCTGGCATGTTTCTCAAGCTACCTTTGTCTGGTATTCGACTGCCTTGTCTCACTCTCCCATTACAATATCCCTGCTATATACAGTTGTCTTCCAGAAGAGTTACTGAAAAAGTGATACATACAAGTAAAGGGAGAGAGGCCACAAGTTCCAACCATCAGCTCATAAAGTTTTTGGTAATAGGGAGCATAAACTCCACTCAGGGTTGGATAAGGAAGGGTCTCCGGCAGATCCACAAGTGTAGGTGAGTCTCCAAGGAATGCAGTTTCAGGAAAGCAGTTCTGGTACACAGGGATAATTATCAGCTGATGCGGCACAGCAGTCATCTTGTAGTTACCAGGAATGGTGTTGTGGGGGTCTGCAGTGTGAGTTGTCCTTGGGTATCTGGCTTCCTTAAAAATGGCAGAGTAGTTCTTGTTTTCCCCTGAGGTAATGCAGGGCTGGTAACTATCATCTTCTTAAGTTGCAAGTTCTTCAACCTTGTTTTCGGCCTCCGGGCCATCCCGGGCCAGAGAGGCAGGGAGAGGCAGGGAGAGGCGCTTGGCTGCGCTGGGGGGCGTGAGCCCCTGGCTGCGTGGCCCCCCCCAGTGGGGCCCCGGCCAGGCCATTCCCGGCGCGCGGCTCCTTACTTTTCCAATGATTTCTGTGATGGCATTTCTTCTTTCCTTCGTCTGTGCCCAATTACAGAGGAAGCTCACTAAGGATGAACTGGCTTCCTTTTTCTCATTTTTTTCTTTTAAAGTTCACTTATTTATGGCTTCTATAGGAAAGAGACAGAGAGAGAGGCAACCTCAACAGAGTCTTCATGTTGTGACCCGTCTGCAGTCTCAGCTGGCCTGGATCATGAGCAGACACATGCCTGCCCAGCATATTCAAGGAAACCCTGGAACACAAACCCAGGACCTGTCCTGTGGGTACAGTTGCATGACCACTGTGCCTTCATTGGGCCCCCCTTTTTCTATAACCTTCAGGAGCATGGAGTGAAGGGCTCATCAGTCATCAGCCTGGGTTGGAGGTGGTGAGCATGGAGATGTGAAGAGGGAAGAGAGGGAGAGGAGGGTACCCTTAGAACGCCAAGGTCTGGGAGGGAAGTGGGACTTGCGAGGAGCAAGGAAAGCCGGAGACCTGTGGGTGGGATCCAGGCCACCTCATAACTCCAGGGGTGGGTGTCAGAGAGGTGGTAGTGGAGGAGTAAGTCCAAAACAAGGAGCCAGTGGAGATAAACCGGAGACACAAGTTCACCTTCACAACGTGAGATGCTTTTCTCAAATAAAGTTCATGGTTAGGCTAGCCCCATGGCCTAGTGGTCAGGGAAGCTGAGTCCCACGTGAGCAAGTACTCAGTTCTAGTCTCAACCCCAGCAGCTTGAGAAACACACCGAGTGCTTGTGCACGCATGCCCAAAAGCCCACCAGGATGGAGAAATCAGGGAGTAGGGACTGCAGCATGATCACACCCCACTGGGTGGTGCTTTGTCCCTCTCCTTCCCTGACTGTCTCTGTCTCTTTCTCTTGCTCTCTCTCTGGCAGGGGCACTTAGCCTCTGGCCCATAAAAAAAAAAGTAATGATGATTCAGACACCAGGCTTATAAATGACAGTCAGCAGGATGCAGGCAGGATAGGAAGCCCGGGACAAACCTGGCAGAGGGGCCATAATTTCATAATTTTCTTTCTCTCTCTCTCTTTCTTTTCTTTTCTTTTCTTTTCTTTTCTTTTTTTTTTTAAAGATTTTTGCCACGTCACGTGTGTGTTTGCCAGAGACAGACAGTGAGAGGAAAATGAGAAATCACTTCCCAGCAGGGATGGCATCACCACAATCCCTATTCTCTCTATTCTCCTGATATTTGGACCATGCACAGATATTTACCCAGTACATTTTTAAGCTGCCAGTCCAGGACTCAAACAGTGGTCAGCCACATGGAAATCAACTGCCTTAACCAGCAAGCTGCCTGCTGATCCAGGAACTAGCTTCGATAAATGAAAATCTCTTTCCCAGAAGAAAATGAGGGAAATACAAACCACTGATAGATTCCTCTTTCTCTACCCACAGATTGTCTATTTCAAGATGTCCAAGCCCAACAGAAACATCTATCGGCCCCCTGGACCTCGCCCTATCTGTAAATTAGCCTCCAAGTCCATGGACTCTTCCTCCTTCTTGGACTCTCTCTCTCAGAAGCTTACCAACTTGACCCGTCTTCTGTACTGGCCTCCCATCCCAGGAGGTGGAGGGGACATTTTGGCCTCTACCAGCCCCCAGACCTCTACCTACCACCTCAGGAGTCCTGCTCAGGCCAGCTATGCCCTGGGAAGCTCCCTGGAGGCCATCCTTGTGGCCAGGGACCACTGGGGCAGGCCCAAGACCCACGGTGGGGATCTGTTTCGGGCACAGCTGCTGGGTCCAGATCTGAAGGCAGGGGTCCCTGGGGATGTCTGGGACCTGGAAAATGGCACGTACCTCTTATCTTTCCCCCTTTTCTGGGCTGGGCAGGCCCAGGTGCAAGTGCGGCTGATTCACTCCAGCGAGGCAGTTGGGGTTCTGCAGAGAATCTGGAGAGAGAAAAGCGCCACAGTCGATTTTAGGGGCTATTTCCGGGGACCAAAAGGGACTGAAGAGACTGTGATTTGCAATGTCGACCCCCAGTCAACTGGTACAAAAGGGCCTACCTGCCAGTACAGGGATATGGTTTCTGGTGAACTCTGGTTCTGTGCTAAACCTCCTACCCTGCCCTGCAACTTTCTAGTTGGTCATTCAAGTGGGAATTATCTGAAGGTGACCACTCCACATGATGAGTCCCTGCTGGCATGGTAAGAAACCCAGAATGTGGGATGCATGTCTCCATAAGTCACATCTTTCCTCATTATTTTTAAAAATATTCAGTTATTTAGGTAGATTTTAAAATATTTTGTCCAAGGTTAGCAGGTGATGTGGTGATAAAGACACTGGATCCCACATGGCCGACTTTGTGGTTGAGTCCTGGATCCAGTGACTTGAAAACATGCCAGGCATGCATGCATGTATGCCCCAAATCCAAAGATGGGAATGGAGGAGAAGGGACTGTGGCATCACTATCCCCCTTGGGTGGTGATTTTTCACCACTCCCCTTGTCTCTCTGGAAAGTACAAGCAGCCTATAGCAAAAACTAGGGGAGGGGACAAAAAGAAGTCCAGGCTTTTTGGTGAGAATTGGTATGCCATTTTAGCAGGAGAAGAAGCCCCTATTCTATTTCATCAGCTTCTGTTGGTATGTCCAATACTTGTTACTTCAATTTATTACATGAGGAATCCTCAAAAAATGCATAGAAAATATGTATTATGAAAAACTGATGTGTGGATTTCAGATTTTTTTGCACCAAGATAAACTTGCACTTTAATTCCATTTTTACACTACCTTTTTGATCTCATGGAGGTTTATTGCCTTGTATAGTTTCATGATTTTAAAGTTTATAGAACACTTAACCCATCTATTTCGAATCTCTTTATCTGGAATAAAAATAATTAAGGCTATAAATTTCTATGAGTATAGCTTTAATTGTATTCTCCAAATTTTAAAAAAAGGGTTATTTATTTATTTAATTCCATTTGTTATTATTTTTTAATTTGACCAGACAGAGACACAGAGAGAGAGAGAGAAAGAGAAAGTGAGAAAACAAGCCACCAAGTCTGGGACTCAAACCATGATAGCCATGTGGGAATCCAGCGCCCTTATCCACCGCACAACCTGCTGGCCCCCCTCCAGATTTTTTTATAGAGGAGTTTTTATTCTGTTTTTCATGTCTTATAATTTCTAGTGATTTCCTGTGTAGCTCATGGATTATTTAAAAATTATTTTTAGAGGTTTTGAAATTCAAAAAGGGCTAGTTAGCTGACTCTGTGACTAGTGGTTAAGGGAGCTGGATCTCACATGGCTACCTATGATTTCAGTCACAGCCTCAGTGACTTGAGAAACATGCTGGGTACATGTGCTTTTGTGCAAAGAAAAACCCTGACCTGGTGGAGAAATGGAGAAGGGATGACAGTGTGACCACGCCTGGTTAGGGAGTGCTTTCTTTCTGTCTCTGTTTTTCTCTGGCGATTGCACATACCCTCTGGCAATATGTTAAACTAAGTGGGAGCCTTTTATTGTTCTCTCTAAATTTATTTGCATAATGATTAGCAATATCTTTATTGTATTGATTCTTTAAAGTTTGTTTAGAATTCATTTGTGGCCTAGTGAAGGACTAATTTTGTCTGTATCCCACATTTCTTGAAAATAACTTCTACTTCTATTCTCTTCTTCAGAATAGAATCCTGAACTTATTTGATTTAATATGTTAAGTTTTTTTAAAAGAGGTTTTCACTGTAGGGTGCGTGGCTCTCCAGAAAGACAGAGACAGAAAAAGTGAGAAATCACCCCCCAGGGGGGACGGCCATGCCACAATCCCTTCTCCTCCATTATCCTCTCAGGATCCTGGGCACGCACGCGCCTGGTGTGAGTTTTAGCCACTGGGTCTGGGACTCATACTGTGATCAAGTACATGGGACTATAGTGACATAGCCATTATGCAATCTGCTGGTCCCATTAGTGTGTTAATTTTTTATTCCAAAAGATCTATATCTTCACAATTTTTTATGTCTGCTTAATCTATTGGATTGAGATATAAATGCATTTTATTGTGTTTGTAGATGTACAAATTTCAAAATTTCTCTTTGCAATCCAGCAATTTTCACTTTATATACTTTAAAGATATGTTATATATTGAGGCTGGCAGTGGTATGGTGGTTAGGGTGTTGGACTCCCACATGGCTGACCATGGTTTGAGTTCTAACCATCAGGTTTGTTTTCTCACTTTCCTTTTCTCTCTCGTCAAGTTACAAAATAATGATAATAAATAAAATAAAATAATTCTTTTTTTTCTTTTTTTGGCGGGGGAGGTTTTTGCTATAGGGTGTGTGCACTTGCCAGAAAGACAGAGAGACAGAAATCAAGAAATCACCTCCCAGGCGGTATGGCCACACCACAATCTCTTCCCTCCATTCTCCTCTCGGGATCCTGGGTATGCGCACACATGTGCCCGGCATGAGTTTAAGCCACTGGTTCCATGACTTGGACAACTGTCGACTATGTGGGAGTCTAGCGACATAGCCATTACGCCAACTGCTGGTCCCAATTCTTGATCTTTTTTCCTTTGAGCAGTTTTGGCTATAGGGCGCGTGCGCTCTCCAGAAAGACAGGGAGAGACAGAGAGACAGAAGTGAGAAATCACCACCCGCGCAGGAGGATGGCCACGCCACAATCACTTCTCCTCCATTCTCCTATCAGGATTTTGGGCATGCAAGCACACACATCTGGTCACACGCCCAGTGTGAGTTTAAGCCACCGGGTCCAGGACTCGAACCGTAGTGAACTATATGGGAGTTCAGAGATATAGCCATCATGCCAACTTCTGGTCTCACCAATTCTTTTTTTTTTTTTTTAAAGCTATGTTAAATACAACTTTGTAGTTGTTTTATGTTATATGTAAAATTTCCATTTTACTTCCTTGTATTTGGCCTAAAACTCTAATTTTTGTAATATGATTATAACTATATGGGAGTTCAGAGATATAGCCATCATGCCAACTTCTGGTCTCACCAATTCTTTTTTTTTTTTTTTAAAGCTATGTTAAATACAACTTTGTAGTTGTTTTATGTTATATGTAAAATTTCCATTTTACTTCCTTGTATTTGGCCTAAAACTCTAATTTTTGTAATATGATTATTGCTAAAACACAGGGCCATGGACCAGCACTGGTCCCAGCCTGTTAGGAACCCGGCCACAGAGCAGGAGATCGCACAAGAGATGAGTGATCTGAAGCTTCATCTGTACGTACAGCTACCCCCATAGCTCACATTCACTTGAGCTCCATCTGTCAGATCAACAGTGGGATTAGATTCTCAGAGGAGCGGGAACCCTGTTGTGAATGGAGCATTCAAGAGATCTAGGCACTTGGATATACAAGTGACTCAACTCCACCTCAGATCACCAGGCATTAGATTCTCATAAGGAGATTTTAAAATATTTTGTCCAGGGTTAGCAGGTGACGTGGTGATAAAGGCACTGGATCCCAAGTGGCCAACTTTGCAGTTGAGTCCTGGATCCAGTGATGTGAAAAACATGCCGCTCTTGTAAGGAGAATGTAATGCTTGGTGATCTGAGTTAGGAGTCAGTGTCAAGTGACAATTTAGCTGCATCTGGTGGCAGGTTTATAGTGGCAGGTGAGTTGATGTACTTTAATTGTGTAGCTGCATCTGGTGGCAGGCTTTAAGTCAGAAGCTGTGCCTCCCCCATGCCCTGTCCATGGGAACATTGTCTTCCACAAAACTGGTCCCTGGTGCCTAAAAGGCTGGGGACAACATGCCGTTCTCATAAGGAGAGTGTATAACGCTTGGTAATCTGAGTTAGGAAAAATCTAATGCCTGGTGATCTGAGTTATGAGTCATTGAGTGTCAAATGCCATCTTAGCTGCATCTGGTGGCAGGTTTTATAGTTGCAGGTGAGTTGATGTAGTTTAATTGTGTAGCTGCATTTGGTGGCAGACTTAAAGCTGTGCCTCCACCAAGCCCTGTCCAATGGGAACATTGTCTTCCACAAAACTGGTCCCTGGTGCCAAAAAGGTTGTTGAATAAGCTTAAGTTTTCTTTTCTCTGGAATAAATAACTTAGTGACTAGATTGTGCGATTACTGGATGCTTAGTTTTATATGAAATTGCCAAACTATTTGCCAGAGTGGCCATTCCATTTTGCATTCTCACCAATGACATGAGAGATCCAGTTTCTCTGCATCCTCCCCAGCATTTGGTGTTAACCCTATTTTCTTTATTTTAGCTATGGATTCATTTCTTTTTACAGTAATATCTGATTCAAATTGGTAAAATGTTAAGATCCGATATAGCTGGATGTCAGGTATATACTAAAATAACTAACTTTTTCTTTTTCTTTTTTTTTTTTTGAGAGGTTTTTTGCTATAGGGCGCATGTGCTCGCCAGACAGAGACAAAGAGACAGAAAGCAGGAAATCACCCGCCAGGGGGGATGGCCACACTGCAATCCCTTCTCCATTCTCCTCTCGGGATCTTGGGCACGCACGCACACGCACCCGGCTTGAGTTTAAGCCACTGAGTCCGGGACTCGAACCGCGATCGACTTCGTGGGAGTCCAGCAACATAGCCAGTAGGCTAACTGCTGGTCCCAATACTGAAATAACTTTCTAAAATGTGTAGAGAGAGGGGAAAAGAAGACAGATAACAAAGCAGATGAGTCTTTCAAGAAGTTGTCCTACAAAGGAAAGGAGCCTGGCAGAGTTGTGGCTGTAGGAGGAGGTACCGATAGAAGAGTGGCTTTATTTAATGGAGCAGATGTGACTACACTTTGCAAAGAAAGAACTCGGGGGAAGAATAAGTGAAAGAGGGTGCAAAAGATGAATGTGACATGATCTAAGAGATGCAGAAGGTGGTTGCATTGGGCATTGATGCAATGTTACCTCCTCTCTTGAGGGGCTAGGAAGAAGGGAGAATGGGTGTAGATACATTTTCTGATAAGAGGCCTAATGGCGAGTGAGCTTCACAGTAAAGTAGAAGACACTATCCCTGTCCCCCTCTCCTACCTCAGGAAGGAAAGGGAGAAGGGAAGTTCTCAACCTCAGCTTTGGAGTGGGAGAAACACACAGCTGGAAACATGATCAAGTTGTCATTTCCAGCCTCGTTTAAACTGGAGCACATCTATTCTCAAGAATACATTCTATTCTAGAGCACATCTATTCTAGACCGTACATTGGTGCAACATACAACTACGCAGTTACTTAGTAGCTGTTTGCCCAATCGCAGCATTGCTCAGCAGTCCATAATACTATTTGAGATTCTGGTTTTAATGTAAGCTTTAAAAATGTTTTGATTTAAACATATTTTAAAATAAAGTTTTTTGAATTACAATTCACACACCATGAAATATGCTTTAATTAAAGTTCACAGCCATGTAGCTACCACCACAATAAGATACAGAACATTCCCACCCCCTCTCCTGTTTCTCTCCTGTCCCTTCACAGTCAAGCCTCCTCTCACCCCCAGTCCCAGGCAAATACTGATTTGTATTCTAACAGTAAATATCAGTTTTACCTTTTCTAGAATTGTATAGAAATGGAATCATACAATATATATTCTGGTATCTGTACCTGGTCAGTGAAATGTCTGAGGTGCTCTTCCTGTGTTACCGTACATCGGTAGTTTTTTTTTTTTTTTTAATTTAATTCAATTTGTTTATTTATTCATGCACCAGAGAGAAAGAGCGAGCGAGAGAGAGAAAGCAGGCCGCCAGGTCCAGGACTTGAACCGTAGTCAACCATGTGGGAGTTCAGCGCCCAAACTACTATACCACTTGAAGGCTCCCTATCGGTAGTTTTTTTATTTTTATTTTTTTTCCCGTTTTCATTGCTGGATAGTGTTTGAATGTAAAACTGTATCATAGTTTATCTATTAATAAATGGATGATGAACCTTTGGGTTGTTTCCAGGTTTTAGCCATTGTAAATAAAACTTCTGTGAACACTAAGGTATAAGGGTTTTGAACACTGGTACAAGATCCAGTTCAGTTACTCTCTGTTCATCATGACTGTTCGTAAGCCAAGACCCTAACGGATGTGTTAATTGCACAAGTCCTTCCGCCAAATACTTAAAATTAGATAAATATTTAATTTTCTCTTAGGCAAACACCCACATGTGAAATTGCTAGAATTTTTTTTAGTAGTAGACTTTATTTATTTATTTATTTTTGGGGGGGAGAGATTTTCACTGTAGGGCGCGTGCGCTCGCCAGACAGACAGAGAGACATAGAGACAGAAAGCGAGAAATCACCCCCCAGGGGGGATGGTCACGCCGCAATCCCTTCTCCTCCATTCTCCTCTCGGGATCTTGGGCACTCACGCACACGTGCCCAGTGTGAGTTTTAAGCCACTGGGTCCGGGACACGAACCGCGGTCGACTACGTGGGAGTCCAGCGACATAGCCATTACGCTAACTGCTGGTTCCCAGTAGTAGACTTTATTTTTTAAAGAACAGTTTTAGATTTATAGAGAAATTGAGCACATAATATGGAGAGTTCCCATATTCCTTTTCCCAGTATTTTCCCCTTTTATTTTATTTTATTAAGTTTTTGTCATAGAGCATGTGCTCATGCTAGAGAAAGACACAGAGAGGGGGAAAGTGAGAAATCAAGCCCTAGAGAGATGGCCATACTATATACAATCTCTTCTCCTCCATTCTCCTCTTAGGATTCTGGGCCTGCATGCATGTGCACCTGGACACCCGGTATGATTTTCAAGTCAACAAGTCTGGGAAGAACTGTGATGGGCCATGCTGGAATTCAGTTTCTCAGCTACCACACCACCTGCTGACCCCTGCCCTGTTATTTTGTTTAAAGAATTATTTTATTTAACTTTATTTATTTATTTGCTTACTTTTAATTTGACCAGAGAGGGACAGAATGAGGGAGAGAGAGAGAGAGGGCAAGTGAGACAGCAAGCCGCCAGGTCTGGGACTCAAACTACAGTCGGCCATGTGGGAGTCCAGAGCCTTTAATCACCTCACCACCTTCTGGCCCCCTCCCCTATTTTTAACAATATACATTAGTGTGGTACATCTGTTACAATTTATGAACCAAAATTGATATATCATTGTTAATCATACTCCATCCTTTATTTAGATTATTTAAGTTTTGTCTAACATCATTTTTTCTGTTCCAGGATTCTATTCAAATTAATCACATTACAATTTTTTAAAGAATTGTTTATTTTATTTATTATCTTTTAATTTGACCAGACCGACAGAGGAGAGTGAGAATCAAGCCACTAGGTTCAAGACTCAAACTATGTTTGGCCATGTGAGAGTTCAGCACCTTAACCACCATGCCACCTGCTGGCCCCTATACTTTCTGTTTTTTCATTAAAAACTTTTTGGGGGCCAGCAAGTGGCATGGTGGTTAAGGTGCTGAACTCCCTCATGATTGACTACGGTTCGAGGCCTGGAACTGGTGGTTAAGGTGCTGAAGTCCCTCATGGTTGACTATGGTTCGAGTCCTGGACCTGGTGGCTTGCTTTCTCATTAACTCTCTCTCTCTGGTGAGTGCATGTACCCTGTAGCAAATTTTAAAATAATAATAATGATAAATAAAATTAAATAATTCTTTTTAAAATTCTTTATTTATGATAGGGTGCATGAAAGAGAGAGAGAAACAGCCCTCTCCACAGGGTCATGCTGTGCTAGGGCCCCTTCCTCTCTGCTGGACCCCGGGCACTCCCACGATGTGTGTAAGGCTTGAGCAGTGCATAGCACTTAGTTGTCATGTCTCCTTAGGCTCCTCTTAGCTGTGACAGGTCCTCAGACTTTGTCAGTGAGGATCTTGACAGTTTTCAGAAGAATTGGTCAATTGTAGAATTTCCCTGTTAGAATTTGTCCCAGGTTTTTCTTACATGTAGGTTAGGGCTGGATGTTCTGGGAAGGACCTCATAGAGCTGGTCGCATTTTATCGTATCATATCTCAATGTCATTTATGCCTGTTGGGCTTAACCTTGATAATGTGCCGGGTGGTGTTTGTCAGGCTTTTCCAGAGAAACGCTACTCTCCACCACCTTCCTCTTCTGTGCTGTATCTTTGAAAGTCACCACGCATGACCCATACTTACACTGTGAGGAGTTATGTTTCCACTTGAGAGTTCATGTCACAAAAAATGATCCTGCTTTCATGATCTCTCCAGGATTTAGTGCCAGGAACAGTTCGTGTCTCCTGGCATGCTTGTGCACTCCCACGACTGGAAACAGAACCACTGATGCAAGATCCAGTTCAGTTATTCTCTGCTCATCGTGACTGCTCGTGAGCTAAGAGTCTAACGGATGGGTTAATTGCAGAGGTCCTTCCGCCAAGCTCTGGCGACATTTTCTTTTCTTTCCATTATTTTTTTCTTCTTGCAATTATTCCAAGTTTTAGATGTGATAATGATATTGTAGTGACCTCAAACTCTTTTTTTGGAATTAGCAGAGTGGAAATGACTAGTCTGTACCTGGGGGTCATCCTCAATGCTCACTCATGGTGTTTCTGCAGGAATGTGACTGACAAGCTGCTCCCTCAGGGAATTTCTCCAATTCAGATCAGGACAGCAGCCACAGGGAACATCAGTCTGGGTAAGTGAGGCCCAGGACATGCCAGGGGTGGCTGTGGTGATGGTATTAAGGATGGACTTACGGGGCTTTTCCTTCCTCCCCTGGGAGTTTAGTCTTCAGGATGTGCGACGGTTAGTAGTACGGTCTGTAACCTCAGACTTCTGGGTTCAAGTGCTGTCTCTGCCAGTCACTCTTTTTTTTAACCACTTTATTGAAGCATGGTTTATGTATGAAAAATCTGTATATATGTAATGTATGCAACTTAATGAGTTTGGAAACAAGTACATACCTGTGAAAGGTATGTACATTCTATATGCACACACCCTCTATGTTCTAGGTTCAAATGGCATCTGAACACACAGTGGGCAATGTGGCTTCCAACACTAGAGATCAGCATGCTACTTCTATGGCATCAAGGCTGGGCCTTTCTCTTTATTATTATTATTTTTTGCATTTGAAAAAAAAATGTGTAAGATCTACCCTTTTAGCACGTTTTAAAATATAGGACATGGTATTGTTACCTGTAGGCTCTATACTGTACAGTGTATTGCTAGGACCCCTTGTATAATTGAAACTTTATATCCTTTGACTGATACCTTCGTTTCCCCTTTCCCTAAATCCCTACCAGCAAACATTCTCCTCTGCTTCTATGAGTCTGAGTGTTTTCTAGTCCACATGGAAGTGATAGCATGTATTGGGTTGTTGTAAGAGTCATGATGCATTTTGCATAGAAAGAGACGCCATGACTTTTCCAACAACCTAGTATTTATCCAATGGCTGACTTATTTCACTCAGCTTAATGTCCTCCAAGTTCATCCATGTTGTCACAAACAATGGCATTTTCTTCTTTATGTTTTCTTTTTCATTTGTCCAGCTATATCGAAGTATAATCAACACAGTTATGTATAGTTCAGGTACACAGTGTGATGATATGACTTGCATAAACATTGTGAAATAGTTACCACACTCAAGTTAGTTTGTACATCCATCACCTCACGTAGTTATGTTGTGTATGTGTGTGTGGGTGTGTGAGTGCGTGGTAAGAGTACTTAGGCTCAATTCTCTCAGCAAATTTCAAGTATGTAATACAGTATTGTTAACTATACTCACCAGGCTGTGTGTTAGCTCCCCAGACTTCACTCAGCTTATAACGGAAAGTTTGTTCCTTTAACCAGCATCTCCCCACGCCCCACTTCCTGCAGCCCTTGACAGCCACCATAGAAGTCTCTGCTTGGGGACCAGCAAGTAGTGTGGTGGTTAAGGCGCAGGACACTCCCACATGGATGAACATGTTTCAAGTCCCGGACCTGGTGGCTTGCTTTCTCACTTTCCTCTCTCTCTCTCTGTCTCTCTGATCAAATTAAAACAAATGAATGAATTAATAAAATTATATTGAATAAAATAATTTAAAAAGGAAGAAAAAGAAGTCTCTGCTTCTATGAGTTCAACTTTTCTAGATCCTACACGTAAGTGAATCATACAAATCATAGAGTGTTTGTCTATTCTGTGGCCAGCTTATTTCCCTTATCACAATGCCCTCCAGGTTCATCTATCTTGTCACGAATGGCAGGATTTCCTTCATTCAAGATTGAATACTATCCCGCCATGTGTATGTTCTGCACATGTGTGTATGCATGTGTGTGCTACATTGTCTTTATCCAGGCATCTGTCAACAGACACTCAGCTGTTCTCCTGTCTTGGCTATTGGAAATTCTCGTGCAATGAACATGGGGGTTAAGATACCGCTTCAAGATCCCAGTTTCAGTTCCTTTGAGTGTATACTCAGAAGTGGCGTTGCTGGGTCATTTGGTGGGTTCGTTTTTGTTTTTTTTAGGAACTACCAGTCACATTCTTAATCAGGGGTAAATTACTTCTCGTTTCAGCACCTTAGTGGCCCCTCCTTGTAAATGAAGATAAAACTAGTACCCCATGGGTTTTATAAAAGTGTAAATTAAAGAATACATGTAACGTATGTAGAAGAGCGCCTGCGTGTTGCAAGAGACAGTATTAATGTTAGCTATTTAAAACATTATTTTAGCTTATTCTATTTCTCTCCTTCCCATAGCCCTGTCCCCGCGGCTCCCATGCCGCCCTGGGCTCCTGGTTCCAAAGCCCTCTGGCTTCTACCACCAAGATGTGTGGCACTCGCTGGCCTGCTCCAGCCGCTCCTTCTCCACTGTCGACAGCATCCTCGGCTGCCT